GCGGCGCGCGCGCGTCGTGACGAGGCGGGCGGAGGAGGAAGAGCGCGCGTGCGGAACACCTCTTCTTCCTTCACACCAACTCATACTAGTGGGAGAAGAGTTCACCTTATAAATTGGTGTACATCTCTCTCAACTAGCCATATGGGACTAAATTTCCCACCACTCCCTTGACAGCATGGACCCTTAGGGATTTTCCTGAAATTGTTAAATGGGCCATTAGCCCAACTAATATTCAGCATGGGAACCCTAAAATGACCCCGCACCCGCATATATACGGGAGTGCCACCGGTTTACGGGCCGCCTGTAAAAAAATTACGGGGCAGGTCCTTCTTTGCGGATCTGTTCGGGCTGTATTTTTGGCCCGTCCCGTAAGCCGTCCGCAAAAACGCAGTTCGTTGGAGTTATACGAGATCTGCTAGAGATGCTCTTATGATATTTATTTTCTTAAAATTAAAGATCCAGCAATCGCTGGCTTTTCATTGATTCAGCAAGAGCAGATGGAAAACATGGTGTGATCGAGTGATCAAATGGATGCCTAGGGCAATAGAGGAAAACGAATAATTTTTTTAAACCAAAAAAGCAAAGAATTTTTTAAAAAGAAAAAAGGCCATATGGGCAGAAAACTAGACGGTTGAGCCTGCTATCCTGCAATTGCATCCCCGAAGAGGCTCTTTAAGGCAGCTTGCGTCTGCCAGCCTCCTATGATGTCTTGTGTTGTCGGGGTTTTAGTTTCGAAGGTGCAACTATTTCTTTCTTGTCATATCTCCCACATTGATCTAATGCCTTTTCTTGTCGCCGGTGCAGTTGCGGCAATGATGCAAGAGATGATCTCGGTCCTCGTCCTCTTGTCAGTTCAAACCCCCTGCACGAACGGAGCATAGCCATGCCATTGTGCCACTTGATTCCAAACCAATGTCATCGTACTACACCTCCTGAATAAGTTTACCCGGGATTCCAGGTCCAAACATAGTGCGCAGAAATATCCATTTGGCTAACCCGGCCCGATGTTGCAGCCTGTCGTTGCACCAAAGACGATCTTGGTGCAACAACCATGAGGACATTTTGATTTTTCCAGGAGCTCATGCCTTCCAAAAGAGGACTCTTAACGCCAGCTTCTTCAAGGTCAACTTTAGAGAGGGTGCTTGGATACGTTTTAGTCTCATGATTAAAAGTAGTGGGACAAAAACTTGCTAGCTTCACCCATGCTTGAATCCAAATACTAAAGAGACTAAAATCAAGTTAATGAGCATTTATTATCCTTCAAACCCTCCAATCCAGAACTCGCATGTGTTAAAGGAGAGGAGTTAAATGAGAAGATAGAGGACTAATCCACATTTTAGTAAGGGTACCCCTGATTAAAAAAATTTAGTCACAAGACTAGTTTTAGCCACTCTTTAGTCAGGGGTGCTTGGAACTTTAGCCTCTTAAGAGACTATTTTTAGTTAGACTAAAATAAGTCCCTTGGATCCAAGCACCCTCTGAGATCTCTACCTCATCTTCTGCATTTTCTCCTTCCATGAAATCCTCACGGCCATTCACTTCTAGTCGTTCCTCCGCCAGCAACGGCGGCAAAGTCGGCGCAACCATCTTCTTCACATGTTTCCACACGACAAGCATCTGCACCCAAGGGTTTCTCGCCGTAATGACCTCAGTTTCCCATTAGAAGGCTTCGGGCGAGCAACATCCGCAGAGGGAGCCCCATAATCGCTCCATCTACCTCAGGCTTCACCTCGGTCCCGATCGACGTCATGCCCTTGGACTGTGTAGATGACGACATTGCGGCAGGGAACACTAGTAGAAAAACGACCTAATGTGAGACACATTAGTGCCGGTTCGATTTTGGCCCGGTACTAATGGTACCATTAGTGCCGGTTCGAACGGCTATGCATTAATGCCGGTTCGTTTTGAACCTTTAGTATCGGTTCGTGCCACGAACCGGTACTAAAGGGGTGGTGGCAGGCTGGCGTCAGGCCGAGGCCCCGCGATCACCTTTAGTAATTCGTGGCACGAACCGGTACTAAAGGGATTTGACCTATAGTACCGGTTCGTGGCACAAACCGGTACTAAAAGGCAATTTTCAATCTCTACCCCCCCCCCCCGCGTATATCGCCATTTCAGTTTTGAAAAATACAAAAGAAAATGATAAAAAATTCAAAAAATAAAATTCTTCGAGATGTAGTTATATTACTACATCTACTAGTTAGGAAAATTAAAAAACTTAAATTTGGACATGTTTTGCAAAAAGTCTAGGGAAAATGTAAAACAGCTATAACTTTTGCATACGATGTCGGAAAAATCGTATAATATATCAAAAAATTCAGCACGAAAATCCGCATCCGATTTTGACAGCCTACGGCCTGTTTGCAATTCTTTAGAATCCTCAAATTCCAAAAAGAGAAAAAGATATGCTCAAATTTAAGTTTTTTTTATTTTGGTTAAATCTGGTCAAACTATGGTCAAACTACTTATTCAAGAAGTATTAATTTACTACATACTTATTCAAGAATATTAGTGTTACTAAATAATTATTTCAATTTTTTGAATTTTGGTCAAATCTGGTCAAACTATGGTCAAACTTATTTAAGAAATATTAGTGTTACTAAATAATTACTGTTTTTTAGAATAATAGTTTCAAACTCAAACGGTGAAATGTGTGACCTAATGCTCAAGCTAAACTGCTGAGGGTTAATGGGATTTACAGCTTACATTTGTCAGGAAAACAACAAGTGCAGACTTGGAAAGTAGGGGGAATAGAACTCTGAAGTTAAGCATGCTCAGGCTGGGGGAGTGAGAGGATGGGTGACCGGTCGGGAAGTTAGACGATTTGGAATGAGTGATCCACACTTGAGTAGTTAAGAGGGGCGATTAGAGACTAAATTATCAAATAATTCAGAAAATTGAAAATCGAAAAAAAATCAATTTTTTTTCAAATTTTTTTAAAAAAAATTCAAAAAAAAAACCTTTAGTACCGGTTGGTAACACCAACCGGCATTAAAGGTCCCCCATACCACAGCGCGAGTTCACGCCACGTGGTGGGCCTTTAGTGGCGGTTCGTGCCGAACCGGTACTAAAGGGGGGGGGGGGGCTTTAGTCTCCACTTTTTAGTGTCGGTTGCAGAACCGGTATTAAAGGCCCTTATGAACCGGTATTAAAGCTCCGTTTTCTACTAGTGGAAGAGCTTGTGCGGTGGCGGTGCGGCAGCGAAGACATATCGACCTGGTGGCTTTGTCTGGTTTCTGCTGCTTCGCTGCCTCCTCCCTAACCTACTTTATGTATGCTTGTCTCTCCGATTCCTTGCGGGAGGGGTCAAGGAACCCTAGGCCACCGGACCCTTCACGGTTTTTCTAACTTTGGCTTGGACACAGCTGAATCGCCACGACCAAGGAGGCCATGGCATGTGAGGGCGGATGAGGCCGCTGCAGTTCCATCATGCTGCCAGGGCAAGCACACGGGGAGGTAGCCACCGGCGGCCGGTGGCGGGGACGATCGCGTCCTGATCGCCTAGTGAGCGAAACCCTAGCGAAGCGTTTTCCATTCTAACTCGATGGAACAACATCCATGGAGTTCTGGGCAAAAAAAAAAAACCCCACAAAAATGCTTTCTTTTTTCAACACAGTACAAACGCAAACGCTCGTACATACGCACATACACTCACCCCTACGAACGCGCGCACATACACCCTACCCCTATGAGCAACTCCGAAAGACTGAGCCGGCATATCATCTTGAGATTCACGAGCACCAGGACTTGAACCCTGGTGGGTTGGGGATACCAATGTCAGTCTGTCACTCTAACCATCCAACCACAAATTGATTCGCCAAAAAATGCTTTGAGAAATAGCCTTTTGATTTCTCTCGAAAAAATTATAAATCACGTTTGTGGACACGGGGAATCGCTGGGAGAATAGATGTCATCATCGGCGTCCATCATCATCAATCGATCGATCAAAGGCCCATGCCGCCGGACGGACACACCAACCATCCATCCAGTCCAGTACAGTCCATGGCCGCCTCGTCTCCAACCTGCCACCCGCCCCCCTCTCTCTACCACTCTCCCAACTCCCCGCTCCCATGGATGCCTACCGTTGCCGCTCCCCTCCCCTCCCCGCAGGAGCAGTCGGCCATTCAAGGCCACCTCCTTCCTTGTCTCCCCCGCCGCCTCCATTTTCGACCCTCCTTCCTTGTCGTGCGCGCGGCCGTCAGGCATTCTGTCGAACACCTGCGGTGCGTACTGGAGTTGGCCATCCATCCACTCCTCTTCTTCTCTTCTCTTCTCTTCTCTTCGGAGCAGGACTCCGGTGATCAACCAACTGTTCTTCTCCGTCTCCGTCTCCGTCTCCGTGTGTGCTCCATTCCTGCCTCCAGTCGAGTACGACCTCCACTCCAATCCCGCCATATAACATAAGCAGCGGGCAGGGCACCACCTTCGCGTGGACTGTTTCTTTGCAAGCAGTTGCAGCATTGCTGGCCAGGTGGGCCTTGAGGCTGCTTGTCGTCGTTCTCTTCTGTTGAATTGATTGATTGATTATTTGATGTAGGGATTCAATTCCCTTCGCTCCCTCTAGCCAGCTAGTGTGGTCGCATAGTCGGTCAACATAAGTTATTCTTCACATGGGAACAAAACACAAAGAAATGTCTAGTCTGAATCTGCTTGCTGTCTGCTGACTATTAATTCATCTACTGTCGCGAATTCTCCGCTTGCTGGGTTTTTTTTCTTCGAAAAGGGGGTTTGCCCCGGCCTCTGCATCAGAACGATGCATACGGCCATCTCCGCTTGCTGGGTGAAAGGATTTTGACGATTCACTAGTACTACGAGTTGAATAGAGTGTTCTTTCGTTTTGCTTGCACCATTCTAACATCTACTCTAGTTCAGAGGACACAACCAGTATGCAAGCAAAACTGAAAGAAACTTCCCAGTGTTTCGATTGCTCGCTGACCAGTCAGGATTTTTCTTCTCCCGGTGCACTGCGGAAGGTTAGTTAGAGGGGCAAGGCAGCAACAATGGTGGAATCCGACCAAGTCAACGGGATGTCCTCTTCGGTCGACGAATTCTGTAAGGCGCTTGGGGGCGACTCGCCGATCCGCAGCGTGCTGGTTGCCAACAACGGGATGGCTGCCGTCAAGTTCATGCGCAGCATCCGGGCCTGGGCCTTGGAGACCTTTGGGACCGAGAAGGCCATCCTTTTGGTGGCCATGGCGACCCCAGAGGACCTCAGGGTTAATGCCGAGCACATAAGGATCGCCGACCAGTTCCTGGAAGTCCCCGCTGGGACGAATAACAACAACTATGCAAATGTACAGCTCATAGTCGAGGTTAGTGCAATTCATCCATCCATCATTCTCCTGCTCCTTTTTTTTACCTACTTACTTGTGCTGGATTAGTTTGTCATCCATGTTCGTTGTGCTGGATACTTGACTACTAGTTATTAAATGTTTGTTCGCAATTCACCTGTCATGTCACAGATAGCAGAGAGAACTCTGGTTTCTGCAGTTTGGCCTGGCTGGGGTCATGCTTCTGAGAACCCAGAACTTCCGGATGCGCTCAAGGAAAAAGGAATCGTTTTTCTTGGGCCACCATCAGCCGCCATGGCTGCACTAGGCGATAAGATTGGTTCCTCTCTTATCGCACAGGCAGCAGGAGTTCCAACTCTTCCATGGAGTGGGTCACATGTATGTATGCGTGCCTTCTCCTATTTCTCTAATAATGCTTTTTCTCCATCACTATGTACATGTTGCTTAAAACTACTATCCTAACGTCGTGCTCTAGGTGAAAGTTCCGCAAGAAACCTGCCACTCGATACCTGAGGAGATCTACAAGAATGCTTGTGTTTCAACTACAGAGGAAGCGGTGGCTAGTTGTCAAGTGGTGGGGTATCCTGCAATGATCAAGGCATCATGGGGTGGTGGTGGTAAAGGAATAAGGAAGGTTGGTCTTCTTTGTAATTCAGCTCTACGGTGTCATCCACTGTCCATACAAAATGAAGTTCAGGTTTTCTGCAAATATTCTAGATTAACCAAAGATGATTTTGATGCCACCCAAATGGTTTTATAGGTACACAATGATGATGAGGTGAGAACCTTGTTTAAGCAAGTGCAAGGAGAAGTCCCTGGATCGCCTATATTTATTATGAAGGTGGCATCTCAGGTGATAAGTGATTCAGTTATATTGCTTTCCGTTATTTTTCTGTTTGTGTTCACATGCTATCCATATAAATGCCGGGTGGGTAAGGGACTAAGAGTATACAATGATAAAGAGCACCTTTACTGTTATCATTCAGCGAGTGCTTCTCCTATACTGATATAGTTTATGTCTCTAAAATATTGCCTTTCCGTTCTTTCTTTGTAGAGCCGACATCTAGAGGTTCAGTTGCTCTGTGACAAACACGGCAACGTAGCAGCACTGCACAGCCGGGACTGTAGTGTTCAAAGAAGGCACCAAAAGGTTAGTTATTCTCCTGAAGCGTATTGTGTTGTCAAATATCAGTCCTAGAGCATTGGTAGAAGTTCTAGAGCTTCAGGGAAGTAAAACTTCATTGGACAATGTAGCAATCATGTTACTATTAAGCAAAGTGTAAGATGTTGCAGGAGCTATGCCAAATCTAAGTTAATATTTTCTTTTAACGGAAGCATTTGTCACTATCAAGTACAGAATGTACTATAAATAGTTGAATTTTGCATTTTGAATTCAAGAACTAACTTTTTTTTTTCTATAGTGATATATGTGTTGCACTCGAAGTTCTGAGCTCAGAATGTTGAAAAATCTAGTGACTGTATTACAAATGATTTCATAACCACAAGAATTAACTATCACAAGACGAATAATTACTACCTCTGTTTCTAAATAATATAAGACGTTTTTGCAGTTCAATTTGAACTACAAAAACGTCTTATATTTAGGAACAGAGGGTGTATAATAAGAGTAATAGTAGTAGTAATAAGTAGCTGATAGCTATATTTCTTTTATGTTTTGTGAAACAATAGTGTTCACCATATACTTGCAACAGATCATCGAAGAGGGACCAATTACAGTTGCTCCTCCAGAAACAGTCAGAGAGCTTGAGCAGGCAGCAAGGCGGCTTGCTAAATGTGTGCAATATCAGGGTGCTGCTACAGTGGAATATCTGTACAGCATGGAAACAGGAGAATACTATTTCCTGGAGCTTAATCCAAGATTGCAGGTAGAACACCCTGTGACTGAATGGATTGCTGACATAAACTTACCTGCATCTCAAGTTGCAGTAGGAATGGGGATACCCCTCTACAACATTCCAGGTAGGCAAATTTCCAACTTAATGGTTGATGAGATGATCTCCTTCCCTCCATACTAATCGATAAAAGGATCATTGCAGAGATCAGACGCTTTTATGGAGTGGAACATGGAGGTGGCTATCACGCTTGGAAGGAAATATCAGTTGTTGCAACTAAATTTGATTTGGACAAAGCACAGTCTGTAAGGCCAAAGAGTCCTTGTGTAGCAGTTAGAGTTACTAGTGAGGACCCAGATGATGGGTTTAAGCCTACTAGTGGAAAAGTGGAAGAGCTCAACTTTAAAAGTAAACCCAATGTTTGGGCCTATTTCTCCATTAAGGCAAGTATACATTCCATGCATAATGATCGTTGATACCACACGACATCCATGCATAATGTCCTTCGATACCACACGACATGTCACAACATCCGCAGATTATGATAATTTCCCTGTTCCTTGTGTTGATAATTTCCCTGTTCCTTGTGTTGATAATTTCCCTGGTTAGAAATTATATCTTTGTTGTGCCACAACCTAACCCGAATCATCATTTCTTGTTTTCAGTCTGGAGGAGCAATTCATGAGTTTTCTGATTCTCAGTTTGGTAAGTGTCATGCGTAATTATTTGTTTCCTCGTGGTATCTCATGATTCTTTTCTTAAACAGTATGATTTTTCCGCAGGTCATGTTTTTGCTTTTGGGGAATCTAGGTCGTTGGCAATAGCCAATATGGTACTTGGGTTAAAAGAGATCCAAATTCGCGGAGAGATCCGCACCAACGTTGATTACACGGTGGATCTCTTGAATGTAAGATAAGCCGACAGTAAAAAATAATCTGATTACATGGTACATTCATTAAGAAAACATGTACAATTCTTGTTGTGTAATCTTTGTTCAAAATTTTCATGTCTTCAGGCTGCAGAATACCAAGAAAATAAGATCCACACTGGTTGGCTAGACAGCAGAATAGCTATGCGTGTTAAAGCAGAGAGGCCCCCATGGTACCTTTCAGTTGTTGGTGGAGCTCTATATGTATGATTTCCTTGTCTGCAGAACTATATGATTTATGACGTGGTTATGAGCTCGCGGTCGCACACAAGATACTATTTCCATCCTCAAATACGTATTTCTTATATTTCAGGAAGCATCAAGCAGGAGCTCGAGTGCTGTAACCGATTATGTCGGTTATCTCAGTAAAGGTCAAATACCGCCAAAGGTATCATACTATATGATGAATTTTCTTACTGTTGATATTCTAATTTCTATATGATTAATAATAAAACTGTCTAACTGCTTTCTTTTCACAGCACATTTCTCTTGTCAATTTGACTGTAACTCTAAATATAGAGGGGATCAAATATATGGTAATTATCTGTACTTCTCGTTAATAATTATATCCATGCATTACATACCCATCTAATCCATTTGGTACCCTTGTCACATCTGCTCATGATTATTTTCTTCTGTAGATTGAGACAGTAAGAGGTGGACCCCGTAGCTACAGATTAAGAATTAATGATTCAGAGATTGAAGCAGAGATACATTCGTTGCGAGATGGCGGACTCTTAATGCAGGTATATTTGCCACACCACACCTTTTTATACAAGCATGATCTATCTCTTTTTTTTGGAAATGGTCTGACAATCTTTAATTGTAAATTTTCCAGTTGGATGGAAACAGTCATGTAATTTACGCAGAGGCAGAGGGTGCTGGTACGCGCCTTCTAATCAATGGGAGAACATGCTTATTACAGGTGAAGATATTTCATTTTGTGCCAAGAGGTCCTGGGTTCGAACCAGCCTCTCTGCATTGCACTTTGCAGGGGTAAGACTAGGTTCCTATAATCCCTCCCCAGACCCCACCTTGTGTGGGAGCTTCTATGCACCGGGTCTGTCCTTTTAGTCAAGTGCCTTTTTTGGCATCTGCCACCACTGTGGGGTTATAGTCTTAGCACCTGCTTAGGATCCTCAATTTTGGCAAAGGATCTTATGAGAGAAACTCTCACTATGGGAATATTTAAATGAAGGACTAGTAATATAGGCTTTGTTTCAGTTGTAGTTGTGACTGCAAATTGTATGAACATACATAAATTAATTATGTCCTCTGGATGATATATTACAGAAAGAGCATGATCCTTCCAGGCTGTTGGCTGATACACCGTGCAAACTTCTTCGGTTTTTGGTCGCTGATGGTTCTCGCGTGGTTGCTGATACACCTTATGCTGAGGTGGAGGTCATGAAGATGTGCATGCCACTGTTACTACCGGCCTCCGGTATCATTCACTTTGTCATGCCTGAGGGTCAGGCCATGCAGGTTCGTTTCTTATCTCTCCCCCTTGCTTACATGTTCGTAGCGCTATATGTACATTCTGACTGAAGTGCTTTATGCTTGCAATATGCATGCATCTTTTAAATACTAGCTGAAATGTCTGTCTTTGTGCAGGCGAGTGACCTGATAGCAAGGTTGGATCTTGATGACCCATCTGCTGTGAGGAGAGCTGAACCATTTCATGGCACCTTTCCAAAACTTGGACCTCCCACTGCTATTTCTGGCAAAGTTCACCAAAAGTTTACTGCAAGTGTGAATTCTGCGCACATGATCCTTGCAGGATATGAACATAATATCAACCATGTAAGGCATACAAACTTCCAGATATTGTTGTTCTTCCAATTTTGGTTCCCCTTGTCAATCTCGTTGCCATTTTCCTCTTCTACAGAGAGAAACTAGCCTCTTAGTTTGAGACAAACGATACCATATTTCTTCAATCATTAAGTTCTTGGCTGTACCTTTTCTTTCAGGTTGCACAAGTTTTGCTAAACTGCCTAGACAGCCCTGAGCTCCCTTTTCTACAGTGGCAAGAACTCATGTCTGTTTTCGCAACCCGACTCCCAAAAGACCTTACGAATGAGGTGATTAAGTATTATAGTTAATTTTTTATTTTACCTGTCATTATTCTATTTTCCTTTTTGGCTGCATATCGAATGGATAACTAATTTGCCTGTTCTCAGTTGGATGGTATTTACAAGGAGTATGAGTTGAACGCTGATTTCCAGAAGAGCAAGGATTTCCCTGCCAAGTTGCTAAGGGGAGCCATTGAGGTCAGTTTGTGACTGTTACTTGGCATCCACTTTCTTTTTGTGTGCCATGTTGTTTCCTTACAAAGCTATTACTGCAGGCAAATCTTGCATACTGTTCCGAGAAAGATCGGGTTACTAATGAGAGGCTTGTAGAGCCACTTATGAGCCTGGTCAAGTCTTATGAGGGTGGAAGAGAAACCCATGCTCGTGTTGTTGTTAAGTCTCTGTTTGAGGAGTATTTATCTGTTGAAGAACTGTTCAGTGATGACATTCAGGTATCACTTTGTTATTACTTGGAATGGGTTGATCGATGCTCACTTTCTCACCAAAATGTACTAATTTTATGTGCATTTGCTTTTATATTCTCAGTCCAATGTGATAGAACGTCTACGATTTCAACATGCAAAAGACCTTGAGAAGGTCGTATATATTGTGTTCTCCCACCAGGTAATGTCTTACTGTGCAATGTGTTGATTTACTTGATATGCAATAGCTTCCATGCTTAAAATTTGTGTTCTCTTGAAGGGTGTGAAAAATAAAAATGAATTAATACTACGACTTATGGAAGCGTTGGTCTATCCAAATCCATCTGCTTACAGGGACCAGTTGACTCGCTTTTCTGCTCTGAACCATACAGCATACTCTGAGGTAAAATTGAGAGTTTGGATGATCTGCATATATTCATTTTGCACATATGATAGTCTAGAGAAATAAAATAAATCTATTGTAACTGATGCAGCTGGCACTTAAAGCAAGTCAACTTCTTGAGCACACCAAATTGAGTGAACTCCGCACAAGCATAGCAAGAAGCCTTTCAGAGCTGGAGATGTTTACCGAGGAAGGAGCACGGCTTTTAACGCCTAGGAGGAAGATGGCCATCAATGAAAGGATGGAAGATTTAGTATGTGCCCCTGTTGCAGTTGAAGATGCCCTTGTGTCTCTGTTTGATCACAGTGATCCTACTCTTCAGCGGAGAGTAGTTGAGACATACATACACAGATTGTATCAGGTATCACGGAATTTATTAACTACACTCTTTGTTGATACAACTGAAACATTAACAATTTTTATGTCGGCTAACTCACAATCATATTCCAGCATTACCTTGTAAGGGGCAGTGTCCGGATGCAATGGCACATGTCTGGTCTATTTGCCTTATGGGAATTCTCAGAAAAGCGTATTGAACAAAGAAATGGGCAACCTGCAACACTAATAAAGCAACAAGTAGAGGATCCCATTGGCAGGCGATGGGGTGTAATGGTTGTAATCAAGAATCTTCAGTTTTTGCCAACTGCGATTGAAGCTGCATTAAAGGAGACTTCGCATTTCCGAGGAGGTGTTGGAAGTGCCATAAATGGTAATCCCATAAATTCTAACCATAGCAATATGCTGGATATTGCTTTGGTTGGTATCAACAATCAGATGAGTACTCTTCAAGACAGGTTCGTCTACACTATTTTCTTATGTGGTTTGTTGTTATTGATGAGATGTGGAAGATCACAAGAGTGTGATTCTATGAACTGGTAGTGAATTTCATGAAAAATAATAATTACCTCTTCCACTCTGTTTTCTCTTTTTAGTGGTGATGAGGATCAAGCGCAAGAAAGGATCAACAAACTGTCCAAGATCCTGAAGGATAACACTATAACATCACATCTCAATGGTGCTGGTATTAGGGTTGTCAGCTGCATTATCCAAAGAGATGAAGGGCGTCCGCCAATGCGCCACTCCTTCCAATGGTCATTTGACAAGCTCTATTATGAGGAGGACCCGATGCTCCGCCATGTGGAACCTCCTTTGTCCACATTTCTTGAATTGGTATTCAGATTTTGTTTTGGCTTATGTTCTCTTCAATAATACCAGTACCACTAACAACTTTATCTGTAAATACAGGACAAAGTGAATTTAGAAGGTTACAATGACGCAAAATACACCCCATCACGTGATCGCCAGTGGCACATCTACACACTAGTAAAGAACAATAAAGATCCAAGATCAAATGACCAAAGGATGTTTCTTCGTACCATAGTCAGACAGCCAAGTGTGACGAATGGTTTTTTGTTTGGAAATATTGACAATGAAGTAGGGAATGCTCAAGCCTCATCATCATTCTTATCTAACAGCATACTCAAATCATTGAGGGCAGCGCTAGAAGAAATAGAGTTACATGCTCACAATGAGGCTGTGAGGTCAGGCCACTCCCATATGTATATGTGCATACTGAGAGAGCAGCGGTTGTTTGATCTAATTCCATTTTCAAGGTCAGTCAAAATATATTTCTTCTTAGTATGGTGATGGACGGCTCTCCTGCGCACTCGAAAAATATTTATTTATTTCTCAACAAAATATATTGCATAAATCTGCTCATAGATGTTCGCTTGGTTTTTGCTTCTCATTATATTAGGATGACAGACGAAGTTGATCAAGATGAGGAGACAGCATGCACACTTTTGAAGCATATGGTCGTGAATATACATGAACATATTGGCGTCAGGATGCATCGCCTTTCCGTGTGCCAGTGGGAAGTGAAGCTATGGTTAGATTGCGATGGGCAAGCTAATGGTGCTTGGAGAGTTGTTGTTACTAATGTAACTGGGCATACCTTCACTGTGGATGTAAGCTACCTTGGCCATTGCACTGCTCTCTATGAACAATAGCATCTACAGTCTGCAAATATTATAAAGAATGCTATTCTGATGGATAAGGCCCCACAGACCATCAAATATGATTCTGTTTACTTATCTTGTTAGTGCATAGAAAATGCTCATCAACCCAATCATTCATGTAATATCTACTCTCTCAAATGTTGCTTTTGAAACACTAGTTAAAAAGACTTGTAAGTAGTAAGTACCATTTTCTCTTTATTGCTTTTATGCTCAAAATTTTTGACTTTCAGATTTACCGAGAAGTGGAGGACTCCAACACACATGAGCTTTTCTACCGCTCTGCCACACCTGCAGCTGGTCCTTTGCATGGCATTGCATTGCGTGAGCCATACAAACCTTTGGATGCTGTTGACCTGAAACGTTATGCTGCTAGGAAAAATGAAACTACATACTGCTATGATTTCCCATTGGTGAGTTGGTTGCATTTTTCCTTACTTTTCTTTTCTCTACAATTGGTTAACATGATTAACTAGATCAACTGGGATTGGTAATAATACTCTGTCCGCAGGCATTTGAAAAAGCATTGAAGAAGTCATGGAAATCTGCTGGCACTTCACATGGTGCGGAAGCCAACGGGCACCATCAGCGGTATGCGCAAGTGACAGAGCTTATATTTGGTGATTCGACTGGTTCATTTGGTACTCCTTTGGTTCCAGTTGAGCGTCCTCCAGGTACGAATGATATCGGCACTGTTGCTTGGAACATGAAGCTCTCCACACCAGAATTTCCAGGCGGTCGGGAGATTATGGTTGTTGCAAATGACATAACATTTAAAGCTGGGTCTTTTGGTCCTAGAGAAGATGCATTCTTTGATGCTGTTACCAATCTTGCTTGTGAGAGGAAAATTCCTCTGATCTACTTGGCAGCAACTTCTGGTGCTAGGCTTGGTGTAGCACAGGAAATGAAGGCATGCTTCCATGTCGGATGGTCTGATGATGAGAACCCTGAACGTGGTTTTCACTACATCTACCTCACGGAACAAGATTATTCACGTCTAAGCTCTTCGGTTATAGCCCATGAGCTAAAACTGGAAAACGGAGAAACCAGATGGGTCGTTGACACCATTGTTGGGAAAGAGGATGGAATCGGTTGTGAGAATCTACATGGATGTGGTGCTATTGCCAGTGCCTACTCTAAGGCATATAGAGAGACGTTTACTTTGACATTTGTGACTGGACGAGCTATTGGAATTGGGGCTTATCTTGCTCGGTTAGGATTGCGGTGCATACAACGCCTTGATCAACCAATTATTTTAACTGGGTTTTCTCCGCTGAACAAGCTCCTGGGACGCGAGGTGTATAGCTCTCAGTTGCAACTGGGTGGCCCCAAAATCATGGCTGCAAATGGGGTTGCCCATCTCACAGTGTCAGATGATCTTGAAGGTGTTTCTGCTATCTTGAAATGGCTCAGCTATGTACCTCAGTATGTCGGCGGTCCTCTTCCTGTTCTGAAACCTCTTGATCCACCGGAGAGACCTGTCACATATTTCCCAGAGAATTCATGTGATGCCCGTGCAGCCATCTGTGGCATTCAGGAGGACACTCAAGGAGGCAAGTGGTTAGGTGGTATGTTTGACAGAGAGAGCTTTGTGGAAACATTAGGAGGATGGGCGAAAACTGTTATTACCGGAAGGGCAAGGCTGGGTGGGATTCCAGTTGGTGTCATAGCTGTGGAAACCCAGACAATGACGCAAGTGATCCCTGCTGACCCTGGCCAGCTTGATTCTGCCGAGCATCTAGTCCCTCAAGCAGGACAGGTGTGGTTCCCAGATTCGGCCACGAAAACAGCCCAGGCACTGCTGGATTTCAACCGTGAAGAACTCCCACTGTTCATACTTGCTAACTGGAGAGGCTTTTCGGGTGGGCAAAGGGATCTGTTTGAAGGGATCCTTCAGGCTGGTTCTATGATTGTCGAGAACCTGAGGACTTATGAGCAGCCCGTTTTTGTGTACATACCAAACGCTGGAGAGCTGCGTGGAGGCGCATGGGTTGTGGTGGACAGCAAGATCAATCCTGAGCACATAGAGATGTACGCCGAGAGGACTGCAAAAGGGAACGTCCTCGAGGCACAAGGGCTGATTGAGATCAAATTTAAGCCAGACGAAGTCGAAGAGAGCATGCTAAGGCTCGACCCCCAGCTGTCCAGACTCAATGCCAGACTCCTCAAAGAAATTAGGGTGGGTACCTCGGAAACGGAGACCGTTAGGATCAGGAGTGCGATGACTGCTCGGATGAAGCAGCTGATGCCCATATATACCCAGGTCGCTACTCGGTTTGCTGAACTGCATGACACCACTTCCAGGATGGTTGCCAAAGGTGTGATCAGTAAGGTGGTGGATTGGGAGGAGTCCCGGGCCTTCTTCTGCAGGAGATTGCGAAGGAGGGTTGCCGAGGATTCGCTCGCCAAACAAGTTAGAGAGGCTGCTGGCGAGCAGATGATGCCTACTCAGGGATCAGCGCTGGAGTGCATCAAGAAATGGTATATGGCTTCTCAAGGACAAGGAGATGGCGAGGAGTGGAACGACGACGAAGCTTTCTTCTCCTGGAAAGACGATCGTAACAACTATGACAAGCATCTCGAGGAGCTGAAAGCTGAACGAGTATCCCGACTATTGTCGCACCTCGCCGAAAGCTCCGATGTGAAGGCCTTGCCCAACGGCCTTTCGCTCCTCCTTAGCAAAGTAAGCTTTCTTTTGTTTGTTTTTTCTTGGCATATCTACGCTTCACCTCTCTGATGCACTAATTGCTGCGTACATTGCACAGATGAATCCTTCGAAGAGGGAGCGGGTTATGGATGGCCTCAGGCAGCTTCTTGGCTGATCGATCAGTGGCCTTGAAGCATCCAGCATATATACACAAAGAAGCGCAGATGGCAAGGAAGCTACAGGATTGAATGGAAGGCACCTGGAGATGGCATCTCAAGGAGGAAGGATCATATATGTATGTATAATATACACAAGGGCAAGTGCAGAAGAAAGAGCATGTGTGTATGTGTGCTGGATATTGATTTGGCATATGTACGTATGTAGTGAGCTGTTTTAATTCGTACTCCCTCGGATCCATATTAATTGCCGCTGATTTAGTACCAAATAACTGCTATGCCAGCCAGCCAGAGACAATGGAAATTTTGGTAACTATCATTTCTTACAAGCAAATGACCTCTCTTTTTTTCTTTCTTACTGTTGTTCCTATGGAAATGGTTGGAAACGGTGGAATCAATGTTCACAAACCATTTGCATGCCTTTCATGCAGTTCAGGCAAATAACTAAATTAGTACTACCTCTGTAAGTGACCTAAAAGATCGGAGGGAGTAGATTACTGGCCAGTGTGCGTTATTTGGCGCCCACTTGTAACATGCTCCTAACTTACCACTTAGGTAAGCGCAACAGCCAAATCTAGACATTTTTTAAAAATGTGTATAATAATAATAATAATAATAATAATAATAATAATAATAATAATAATTTATCAGATAAAATGCCCGTCCATTGCAACAGGGTATAAATATTTGGGACGTGTTACGCGTTGGCTAGATGATAATTCTAGAAGATCGACCGTCTGGGCTACCGTTAGATGGAGCCACGGATCCTTCCCCGAGCCTTTGCAACAAGGCTCGTGTTGCACTCAACACTTTGCAACATGAGCCTTGTTGTAATCTCCCGGAAACTATTTTCCTTTATTTACTTTCTATGCAACAGTTGTTTAATTTGCTTGCTGAGCCTTTGCAACAAGCCTGGTTGCGCTCATCGGTTTGCAACACATGAGTCTTGTTGCAATCCCCTAAATAGTTTTTTTTCTCTGTTCAATTTGCCCACCGAGCCTTTGTACAAGCCTCCTGTCATGCTCAACGCTTTACAACATG